AGGGATGGAAAGGACCTTTAAACTCATATAATCCACCCTACCCCACCCTCATCATACAGATGAGGAACCTACACTTGCCCAGGGTCATACTGGTGATAACTGACAGAACCAGGATTTGGACCCAGGCCTTCTGACTCCAAATCCCATGATCTATTCATTGAGCCACAGAACATGTAATCTTTGGTTATGTCAGTGTGGAATTAGTCCAACACTAATAACAAGTCTTCTATAACTTGTCAGAAGAGCATCCAGAGCTCCTGTAGCTAAGAAATTAAGCACCTCGGAGCTCAGCTGGTGATGAGTGTCTCAGAACTTGAGTAAGCTGGTCCTCATACAACAACAGATGCAATTCATCCCTGGACCCAGACCTCAGGCCTTTCTGGAGCTTAAACTCCATTGGCCAAACTCAGAAGAAAACGAGGATCAGCTCTGCATTACAATAAGGCATTGTGGTAGGACTTTAGTGCAAGGGTTTTAAAAAGAAATCATTTTTATTATACCAAGGAATATATAGCCAGAGGGAAGAAATTCAAAATGCCCTTAAAATATCCTCAAATTCAAGGCTAGTTACTCATCATTTTACCTAAGACTTTCAGTATCAGAATTATTTTACGACTTAGCAATGAGCAGGGAGGCCCGCATCTTAGATGGGGGAAAAGAACTGCCCAATTTTTGCTCTTGCTGCCTCAAAGGTTGGCAGAAAGGGCAGGAGGAAGGTTTACTTCATATTTCAGGAATGGGATAGGGACAGGATGGTGAAGAGTGTTCATAAGTATTTATGGGACATATTGACATTGATGAAGGAAGCAAGAGTTGCAATCATGCTATCAGAAAAAGCAAAAAAAAAAAAAGAAAGAAAATTCATGTTTCTAAGAGAGGTTAATAGGGAAACAATATAAAGCTTAAAGGCACCATAGACAACAAAACAATATCCTTATTAAATGTATATATCCCAAGTAGCATCATATCTAAATGACTAAAGGAAAAATGACCTGAATTGCTAAACAACAACAACCACAACTATAGCAACAACAAAGAAAACCCAAAATCCAAACATAGATAGGAGACTTGGATGTAGGTCTGCTAGATAAATCTAAACAAATTCAGTTAAAAAAGAAAATAGGGAACTAAACAGACTGTGGGAAAAGTTAGATTTGAAAGACTTATGGCACCTTCTGAATGAGACTATTAAAAAGTATAAATATATGTGTATATGTGTATGTAAATATGTGTGTGTGTGTATGTTTCTTAGCATCATATAGTACCTTCATAAAAATGAACCCCGTGCTAGGAAAATAAAAAATTATTAATAAATCCAAAAAATAAAAATATTAAATATATCCTTTTTAGACTATAACATTATAAAAGTAGTACTTACTAAAGGGAACACAAGTAGAAGATACAAACCCAATGGAAATTTAATCATGACAATTTGAATAACAAGTGGATTAAAAAATAGAAATGATTAACAACTCTATGAAAGAGAATGATGTTGAAACAAAATACCAAAAATATTGAGATAAAGCTAAAATAGTACACAGAGAACAATTATAATTCTAACAACACATTAATAAAACAAAAAGGCAGATAACGGTCTGAATATGCAATGTTAAAAAAGAAAGACAATCAATAACTCATCAAACACAAAATAAACACAAAAGAAAAATGCCTTACAAATCAGAAGAGGTAAAAAAAGAAAATAAGTCTTTAGAAATGATAAAACTAAAAGCTATTTTTTTGAAAAGATTAACAAAATCAATAAACTTGTGCCAAACTAAATTTTAAAAAATCACAACAATAAAAAATAACAAGGTGAATTGACAGAAAAGAAATTTTTAAAAATTATCAGAAATTAATATAATAATTATATGATAATAAAATTTAGAATTTAAAGGATTACCTTAAAAAGTATAAAATACTCAAGTCAAAGAAAATGTAATAGAGATTTCAGTCAACCCAATAACAAGAAGTAAAACTGAATAAGGAACTTCCAAAGATGATGATGGGGGGACTCCATGGTCTGGATACATTTTCATGTGAATTTTATTAAATATATATAGAGAAATTAATACCTATGATATGCATATTATTCTTATTGAGATAGAAAACTCTACCAAACTCTTTTTTAATCAAATTAATATAATTCTTATACATAAATCAGCACAGGATAAATTGAAGAGAACTATAAAGCTACATGATTAATAAAAAGTGATATAATTTTTTAAAAATAAAAACCTAGCCAAAATAATTACAGTAATATAGCCAAAAAAAGTATTCAAAATGACCAACCTGAGTTTCTACCATTGACATAAGTGTGGTTACACATTAGGAAAACAATGAACACGATTAACAATATTAGAGAAAAACCAACCAAAACCATATGATCACATCAATAGGTACAGAAAAACCCTTTGACAAAATATAACATTCCTAATCAAAACACTAAAAAGCACAAGCACATAAAGATTATTTTTATATGCTTAGTAGTAGATTCCTAAAACCAAGGTTAGCATTATTTGCCATGGAGAAACAACTGGAAGACTTCTCAATGAGCACATAAATAAAGCAAAGATTCTCTCATCCTCATTATGATTTGGCATTTTTCTAGAAATGTTAGTAATAACAATAAGGAAATAGAAAGAAATTAGAGGTGTAAATTATCAATAAAGAGAAGAAATTTTCTCTAATTGCAGATACGATGGTTTACTTAGAAAACCTCAATGAATCATCAAAGAAACAAATCGAGACAATTACGCTTCAGTATTACAAAATAAAAAATAAACACACATAAATTGTTAACATATCTAACAATGATGAAAAAGGAGGAAATAATAGAAAGAGAAATTTCATTCAAAATACAAATTGCATAAAATAGCCAAGAGTCTATCACAGTAGACTTAAGAAATAAAAGTTTAATTACAAAGCACTCTTTAAAGAAATAAGGGAAGACAAATAAATGTAGAGACATTCACTGCTCATGATTGAACCAGGCCATGACAATAAACATAATGATACTACCTAGTGCTATATCAATCAAACCTCCATGAGCTTACTTTATAGAGCTAGACAAAATAATAACAAAATTCATTTGGAAAACCAGAAGGTCTGGGATAATCATGAAACCATTAGATATTGGACATGGATAGAAGGCAAGAGTGCCCATTCTATTAAAAAATCACCAAGAACATTTTAGTCATATAAAGTTTATAAAAATAAGGGAAACATATTGAAGGAAACATTGAAAATAACTTTTATCTGTTATCTAAAAGCATTTACAAGCATGTTATAATGTAATGCAAAGAACACTAAACTACATGATGGGGACTCTGGGTACTAGTTCTCCCTCTGACCAGGTAGCTATACTATTCAGTATAAATCACTTCATTTCTCTGGATATCAGTTTCCTCACCTGTAAAATGAGAAGGATGGACTTTTCCAGATCTAACATTTAACATTGTAAATGCTGTACCTTCTGCTGCTCATCCATCCAATTATTTTTATCTCCTACTTATTTTTACAGCTATAAACTTCACATGCTGAATAAGATCATGCAATACCCATCATGTTATTTGAATTTTGAATTTGATATTTGTTTTTAGTCAGTATTTTAAGTGCTACTTTTGTGCCCTTAGAAAGGGCATACTATGCACAATGCAGTTTAGAATTATTTTTGTTATCCAGCGTTTTGGATGAAAGAAAAGTTGTGCCTACAAAATAGGATGTTAAATAAAACAGTGAGAAGAAAAGTTTAAAAGTCTAATCAGCCAGATATCATGTCTATAAATCACCTATAGCCAACTGAAATCATTCAAGGCTTGGTTCTTCCTCCTTTCTTTCTTCTTTCCTTCCCTCCCTCTTTTCATCTTTTTTTCTTTTTTCTTTCTTTCCTTCTTCCCCCTCCTTTCCGTTCTTCATTCATCTCTCCCTCCCTTTCTTCCTTGCTTTTTTTCCTTCTTTCCTTCTTCCTTTCCTTCTTTATTTCTTTTCCCTTTCTTCCCTTAAAATTTTTTTTTATACCTAGATGGGTATAATTGACTATTGGGCCATGGTTGTGGGTACAGAATCAGAAAGTCTCAAAGGTAATATGTGTCCTTAGAGGATACCTAATCCAATTCTATACTCTAACAGCATAGCTAACAAGTCATCATCAACCTCTGTCAGAGACTGTGATTGAAAAAGAACCATCTTCTTCCAAAGGCCATTTATTCCATTTGGGATAGCTCTAATTGTTAGGAAATTTCCCTTACATAGAGTAAAAATCTGCCTCCTGTTACCTCTTCCTATTGTTCATGATTCTCCCTTATGGATTCAAGTAAAACAGTTCTAATCCCTTTTCCACATTATGGCCTTTCAAATTTTTGAGGAAAGCTACCATGTTCCTCCCAAGTATTCCTTTCTTCAGTCTAACTCTTCTCCTTCCAGTTCCTTTAACAATAGGAACCTTTCCCTGACCCCTCTTAATTCCACTGCTTTCCTTCTTTTAATTAATTCCTATTTATCCTGTATACAGTTTGCTTTGTATATATTTCTTTGCATATTGTCTTCCCCATTAAAATCTAAGCTTCTTGAGAGCAGGGACTGCCTTTTGTCTCTTTTTTGCATCCCCAGCATTTAGCACAGTGCCTGACACATAGTGGTTACTTAATAAATATTAATTGAATGAATGAATGTTCATGGTCTTGAGGCACTTCACCATCATAATTGCCCTTATCTAGACACTCCAGTTTATTGACATCTATAAACATTGCTCCACAATCCAGAGCACAGAGCAGTCTAGTGACCCACCTTGCATTACACAGTGAGTTAGTAATGGGAAATTAATTTTAGTGTCAATCCGGTGGTGGGGAATTACATTTTGGGGCTACCTTACTTCTCAGTTTGTTAAACCACACAACTCAAATCCTTGTTCTAAAAGTCAGTCAATACCATCTCTATCACCACCCCAGTTTCTACTCCCCAATTCCTTGCTATTACACTTCTTATTTAGTCATAGCACTCACCAATGACGTATTCCAGTCTGAAGACATCCTTTTTGGGATCATAAGGGCGATGAAAGTCAATTTGGACATAGAAAGGCTGCCCTCGGCGTACGATCAACTTTTCACTGTCATATCGGTCTGTGTGATGCTCCACCTTGTTGGTATCCCAGGAGTCTTTGAAGAGGTGGACATTCATGACTTTCAGATAGTCTGTATTCAAAGGAATTCAATAGAAGGAAACCAGTAAGTGTTTTTGATTTGATAACCACATCTTTAGATCTATAGAGAGGAGAAATAGGGCAGATTAATGGATTCTTTTTCTTCCCAGAAAGGAGGAGTGCAGCAGCATCTTGGAAACACTGTCCTAGATATGAAGTTGGAAGACTTGAGATCCAATTCCATCTCATGACAGTTTGTTAGAATAGTGCCTTAAAACTGTATATACATTACCAAGTTTTTGTTCTCATAATGAACTTGTGAAGTAGGCAGTACAGTTATTATTATCTTATTGATGAAGATACTGAGATAGAGAAAGGTCAAGTAAGTTTCCCGAAGTCACATAGTTAATGATTGATGAAGGGTGAGATTGAAGCCTCTAATTATCGGATGTTCTTTCCAAAATACAACACTGCCTTCTACTCATCTCTACCAATTCAATTTAATTTGGCAAACATGTCTAAAGTGCCCACTGGTGACACTGGGGGAGATACAAAGTTCAAATAAGATTGTACTTGCCCTTATGAACTTTACAACCTAACAAGGAAAGCAGACTACTAAGCAACAACGAAGATACACAATAATATATGATAAATACATCATATAAAACCGTAAACCAAGTACTATGTGAGGCCTGAGAGAAAAGGCCTTTATTAATTACTACTTCAATAAGCTTGGATAAGTCATGTAATTTCCATTTTAGATTCTCCATCTTTTAAAAATGGGGAACCTAGGGGCATCTAGGTGGCGCAGTGGAGGCCCTGAAGTCAGGAGGACCTGAATTCAAATCCGGCCTCAGACCAAACACTTGACACTTACTAGCTGTGTAATCCTGGGCAAGTCACTTAACCCCAATTGCCTTAAAAAAATGGGGAACCTTCCAAAGATATATTGAGGACAAGCCATACTATTGGTTAGATTCACTCTCTGTTTCTTCAAGGACATCAAACAATACCCCTTTCCCCAAAACAGACTCCGTGATGCAAGACAGATTTAAGCTTTTTGGGAAGAAAAGTTTCCCAAGGACCAGAGCTGTCCACAAGCAGAATAAGCTATCTTAATGGTCATTTAGTCCAATCTTCTTTTCTATTCTCTCCATACTCACTCACTTGGTAACCTCATCAGCTCCCATGGGTTCAATTCTCATCTCTATGCAAGTTATTCTCGGGTCTAGCTTTCTATCCTGAGTCACTTTCCAGAGTTCAAGTCCTGCTATATCAACATTTTGAACTGTACATCCAATAGTCTTCTCAAACCCAACATACCCAGAACAGAACTTGTCTCCTTCCAATGCCATCCCTCTTCCAAACTTCCCCATTTCTATTGAGAGCACCGCCATCTTTCCAGTCCCTGAGGTCCACATCCTCAGTACCATCCTTGGCCCTTCACATTCCCTCAACCCACAGATAGAAGCTCTTGCCAAATTTTGTTGTTTCTATCCTCACGACGTCTCTTGCCATCATCCTCTTCTCTCTACTCATATAGCCAGCACACTCGTTCAGACTCCAATCACCTGAATTTTTTAATACCCTCCATACTGGTCACTCTGCTTCAAATTATCAAGTGTCCACTTATTCTAATCCATCCTCCACATAGCTACCAAAGTAATTTTCCTAAAGTATCAGTATGACCATGTCATCTCTCCTCTCACCCCACATACAAAACAAACTCCAGTGGCTCTCTATTACCTCTTTGTTGTTGTTCAATCATTTTTCAGTTGTGTCTGACTCTTTGTGATCCCATTTGGGGTTTTCTTGGCAAAGATACCGGAGTGGTTTGCTCCAGCTCATTTTACGGATGAGGACACTGAGGCAAGCAGGGTTAAGTGACTTGCCAAGGGTCACACAGCTAGTAAGTGTCTGAGGCCAGATTTGAAATCAGAAAGATGAGAAAGATGACTCCAGGCCTAGCACTCTATCCACTGTATCAGCTAGCTGCCCCCCATTACTGCTAGGATCAAATATAAACTCCTCTATTTAGCACTTCAGGCTCTTCATAACCTTGCCCCATCTTACCTTTTTAGTCTTATTACACGTTATTCCTCTCCAAGTACCATATAGACAGACCATGCTGGACTTTGTGTTGTTCTTCACACATGGCAATTCATCTCCTGCCCATATGCCTTTGCACTCCCTGTTCCTCATAATTAGAATGTTCTTTTCCTCACTTTTACTTAGCATCTCTGGTGTCTTTCAAGACAGAGCTCAAGCACTATTTTTTCCTATTCCTTTCTCTGTCCCCCACCATACAACCCCGTCCCAAGTGCCTTCCTCATCCAAGGTCAACTTGTATATATTTTGCTTGTGTTTAATTAAACCTATATATGTACATGTTGTCTCCCTTAATAAGATATGAGCTCCTTGAAGGCAAGAGCTGCTTCATTTTTGACTTTGTAATGCCTGGCTCATAGTAGGTATTTAATGAAAACTTATTGACTGCTTAATCTCTTCATTTTTCAGATTAAGAAACTGAGGTTGAGAGAGGGAAAGTGGCTTGCCCAGGGCCACATAGAGAGTAAGAGGCAGATCTGGGATTATAACACAAAGCCTCTGATTTTGAATCCAGCACTCTTTCCAATTAAACAGGCTTTTTAAAATCAAAGATTAAAGATGTTTTAAAATAGTAGCACAGCAGTTTTTTTTTCACAAGTGCTATAAAATGGTCACCAAAACCTTTAGCACTTTCTTTAGCAAAACCAAAAAGCAACCAGCATATAAAGTATGACTGAAATTCCTCAAACAAATAGAAGATGAATTAATTGACATTTAGGATTTGGGGAACCACAAATAGTAAAACAAAAATCTTACTTACTGTACTCTTTCATACACTCAACTCCCTAACAATTTTTTATAAAAGCTAGATGACAAAATAACTTTTTAATAATTCCAGGTATTCATAGAAAAGGCATTTCCTTTGTAATGGAGTCTCTGAATATTTTTGTCTTTTGAATTTAAGAAATATTGCAGTTTTACATTGAAAACTTTCAGAGCTTTTCCTAATGATACTGCACGTGTTCATTAAAATGTGGGAAAGAGCTACACTGAAGGAAGCCTGTGATGACAGTAAGAGGAGATTTCTTATTCTTTAGGGAAGCCTTGGGAGGACCAGCAGCTCTGGTGTGAGGGCTGCTGAGATCTTTTCAGGGCTGTTCATCCTCCTTTGATGTCCACTTGATTCACCCAACTCTCACCTGTGGTTCTAAGAAGCTGTAGCATGCATAGTGGCCACACCCCAGTAAAACCATCATGGCAGATAGGTTAAACCAAGTTGAGGGTAACCAACAAATCCCAAACCCATTGGTTAGTTAGGGGGGCATCTACCCCATGCATGGGAAGACTTACCCTGGCTAAATGTGTGGATAAGAACAATTTGTTCCAATGGCCACGAGGGCGGCTGAAGCAGGTGCTATGGAGAACTTAGAGCTTGGTCAGAGATCAAAGATGCCAAGGTCATCCCCTGCATCTTGCGCCATCACCAGTCATTTTGACTTTTGTCTTGCCAATGGATTTAGATGACTCAGGGATAGAGAAACAGGCTGACAACTTTGTGCAATTCTGCCTCACTTAAATCCAATTCAGGCAAGAGTAAAGACATCATTCCATGATGTCATCAGTCCTCTTCAAAAATGAAGGACAAACAACAACAGTACCTAGACCTTAGTTTTAGTGAACAAGTGTCTAAGAGAACTACACTGAGGAGAATATGTCTGCATTTGTATATTGTATAATACTCATTTTCCTAACTAACTAAAAGTAAGTCCTATAGTTTCTCATTCTCTGTATTCTTATTAGGTATGCATAGGCATGTATAGGACAGCAAAATATAAAGAGGATCAAATACCTACTAATATCTGAAATATGAATAAATATGCATGTTTATGAACTAGAGTTCTTTTTACATATGTATTTTTCACTTTGATTAATTGTTCTAAATGATATATTCTATCTTGAGTGAAGCTATTTGTGTATGTTACAGATACTTGGCTACAGAGATCGAATAGATGGGGACTTGGGGAGACACCATGAACCGGGAACAGAGACATAATAGCAATAAATCAACAAATATTTATTAATTGCCTATATTTGCCAAGTGCTGAGGATACAAAAGGAGAAATGAACCAGTCCTTGTCCTAAAGGGCATGGGTGGGGGGAGTAGAAATAACATGAGATAGTGACAAGGAACTTTAATTATCAAGAGAATTACTAGAATTCACTTTAGCTCTCCCCTTCCAAAAAGAAAAAAAAATTAGAGCAGCCAACATATTTCAACTTACTTTGCTGATAGAAATTATATTTCAAAAGATAGATGAGCCAATAAAATGAAAGTGTTTTCTGGATCTGATTTTCATTATTAATGAGGAATTGGTTGCTGTGGTAGAAATGATGGTAAACCTATGGGGTAGAGGTATACAGTGACCACTTCTTAGAGTTTATGATAGAAAAGGAGGGCATAGTCTGGGCATAGTCTGACACAAACATTAGATTTTGAGAAAGCAGATTTCAGAGTACAGAGGAAGGATAGATAGAATTCCACAGATTAAAATCCCATAGGAGAAATCAGTCTAGGAGAGATGAGAGATGTTCAAGAAGAAAAGTCAGAAGACACAAAGGGAAAGACATTCCAATGAAGAGAAACAATAATATTTATGTCTGAAGAGAACAATGTGGATGCACAGGGGACTGAACTAGATTTTTAAAAGAAATATACAGAAGATAGAAGCAAGGGTTGATAACAGAAGATGAATATAAAATTGATTGATGTGTGGCCCTATTAAAAGAGTGTCAGGAGTGCTCAAATCCAATATAAGTTGAGATTGGCAAGAGAAACAAAGATAGGAAAAAAAGGTTTTAGCTATCTTGAGGGAAAAGGGGGCATCAAATAAGGGATAGAATCTTTGATTAGGGTAGATAAGTTGGTTAAAACTGAAAACAGAGCCAGTCAATAAACACTTATTAAATATCTGCCATGCATGAGGCACTGTGCTAAGTACTAAT